AACGGGTCGGGCTAGTTCACGCAGAACGCCACTGGCTACACCAATTCGCCGGTCGATCTCCTCCTCCAACGTTTTTACATTTAAAATTTAATTTATTTTTCATTTCTTTTCATAAATAAATAAGGGAATCTAAACGAGCTTTCGAAATCACTAGTAATAAATCTAAATGTTAGTTTATATACTGAATATTAGTTTATGCGTTAATTTATTTTCTTCTGCGCTGTAGTACATTTTTCATTGGTTAGATTGTCTAGCTTTATAGTAGCTAAATTACTAAAATCCAGAGAAGATTGACTGTAATTGAAAGTTGGGATGCGTCATACCCATAACATTTTGATATCCTAGGCTTTACGGTAGCTGAGTACCTGAGAATGGAGAACGGTTTTCAAAGTATACACTTTTGTGGGTGACCAAGTCAGTTGTGTGCTGGGTTGTGACTCGTGAAATGAGTGCATGCTGGCGAAGGAATTGCATTTTTCATTCTGGATGAGTCCCTGTTTCCGTTGTTTCATAATTATTTTGCTTACTGCCTCCACGTATCGTCTTTTAAAAATTTTACGCTTTTGAGAGACAGAAGAGTTCAAGCTGTCGATTGTGAATCAGCAATTTGTGTATGATGTTTTCTGAGGACTCAGGAGGTTCCGTTCACTTTTGTCTGATCACGACAGCCTAAGTTTTTTACGTTAGCAGTTTATGTATAGTCGTGGTGAATGTTTGGTTTTGAATCTGCCGCTGGTTCCGAATATTTCTTTATAGTAAAACGGCCATTTTTGGGGTTTTTAATTGAGATTGTGGATAATGAAATGAATTTTTAATATCGACTGTTCTATTTACCGCAAAGCAATCAATCGATGTGTGAATTTTTATCATTGTATAGTTACTGCTGTGTAACCGTGACTGCGAAAACTTATCATGTGCGAATTTCAGGCACTTTATTTGTTGCTTCGGCTATGGACAATATTGCCGAATTTTCGCAATTACTCGAAAAGTTACTAAGCTCAGACAACACCGTCCGAAAAGAGGCTGAGGTGCGGGTTTTCTCTCTCTTTCTCGGTATTCTGTCAAATGCGATTAACCATGAGTTTTGTAGGAGGTGTTCGAAAAAATCGACAAATGTCAAAAGGCATCGGCGCTATTTGTCGCTGCCAAGACCAATGAATTAAGCGTTGAGGTAAGATGCTAAGAAGAAATGCTGAGAAGTACTTTGTGTTTTGTTCGCTCGAAGGAGGACTGATTCGTCGTCTCTGTCAGCCTCCCGCTTCTAGCAACTGCGAGAAGACGGCGAAGCGCTCGCCTAATCCTGTTGTAACGTTGCTCGCTGATCTGAAGCTCGCGGTGCTAATCTCTGGTACGATGATGGGATGCTCGGTTTCGTTGTTTGCTGCTAAACGGCGAACAAGGTTTATTTTAAAATGCGACCAACCTCGTTCGCTGCCTGCTTGAGGCATTGCACACTGGGTCTAATTTCTGTCCATTGTTCATCATTGCTGCTTCTTGTTCTTGGCTCTCGTCAGCGCCGTTTCTTTTCCTCTTAGCACCGGCATTCGCTTGGTAACAACCTTTTCGCTGCTCAGTAGTTAGAAAAAACTTGCAAATCCAATTCCGCTTTACTTAGTCGTCGATCGCGCAGTGCTCTTGAGCCGGTAAACCACCGTTTAAGTTCACTTACTCATGCGCTGCAGTTTTTGTTAACCACGACGTACTTTCTTATTTCCTTACTTTTTAAGAACGTACATTTTACCTTTTTACTTTTGGTTGCATTTCCCTCAAATGATTTAACTACATACGAAATTTTAGAATATTTTTTCATAAATCTGTATTACAATTGTTCTTACACTGTCCCCTGTTCCCATTGTTGTTACAATGTCCCTTGATGATCGATTTAGCTTGATCCGTAATATCGGGATAGGGTTTAACAAAATGCATGTACCGAATGTAGAAAACCCTTTGAAGTCCTTGGCGATGTAGATCTTTCTACTCGCATAAAGAATGCAAATAATCTCTATAAAACAGAAAATTTTTACGAATATGGTTTCAGTTCTAATCCTCCTTTACAGTTCTCGACGTTAATTTTAATTATGCAGTGAAAGTATCGCGACTGATCGAATGTCAACCACCTGTTAAAGATTCATTATATATGATGAAGACATATGTTTACAGCATATAAATATGAAGTGGCGATGGGCGGAATAGGTTGCAACCAGAACCGACCACCGATGGATCAGAGACATTTCATTTTTATCCAGGAGACGAACAGTCTGTGGAAGACCTCCATATAGTCGGCAGAACGAGCTGAAGTAGTTCATTCATAGAGATTAGAATATCCAACAAAAGCCACCAATTGACTGCCAACCTAGCGTTCAAGTTTGTGGGACTACTGCCATCAAACGAACGACACCCGTCTTGCGAAGTCGACAACGAACCCAACGCCTGATGGCAAGGAGCCGCCAGAAAGAACTCCACAAAATCGAAAGATCTCGTTACAAGTGACATCGCATTGAAAGGATTAAAAAGTGAGTAAATATTCGGCCCCGGATTAGTTTTTATACGGCACCCGAAGTAGATCGTAAAACTGATGATGATGGTATTGCTTGCATGTGTTTATTGTATTTATATTGCTTGTATATATATACGACGTTGGGTTCGTTGTCGACTTCGCAAGACGGGTGTCGTTCGTTTGGTGGCAGTACTCCCACAATCTTGAACGCTAGGTTGGCAGTCAATTGGTGGCTTTTGTTTGATATTCTAATCTCTCTCTTAAGCAGCATGTTAGACCAGGTAGTACCAGATCACTCCTAATAC